GTTTAAAAATAAGTTCTGCAGAAACGGAAAAACTCGCTGCCACGTTTCTTCTATCCCTTACGAATAAGTCAGCCTTCATCGCCCACAAAAGAGGGCCAGCGGTAGCGGCAAAGGAAGGGCATTCCCCCGCGTCGCTCAGGAGTCATTCCTTTTGGGCGGCGCAGCGCCGGGAAAAAAGTTTGCGCGTCCCATCCGCCCAGCCCCCTTGCTGCCCGCCAGCCATGCAGCAGCAGCAGCCGAGAGGGAGAAGTCACTTTCCGCCGGAAACGCAAAGGCCCTCCCGTCGGAAAAGAAAACGTCGGGCCCCGGCATTTTTGCGCCCTGATCCACGCAGAGGCAAAGCAACAAATTTAATGGCCCCCATTACTGCTTCCCTCGCAGCGATGGTAAAAGCAAAAGAAACCAGCGGCACTCGTGGCTCGGCAAACCAAATCCGACGCGACCCCAACCAAAGTCAAAAAAAGAATTAAAAAAAACTAAAACATTTGCGCTTAACTATGCCTTTAGGAAGAGACATCAGTTACCCCCAAGAATACAGGGCAGGTCTGAAGAAGTAAATACGCAAATAAATAGATAAACAAGAAAGAATAGAAATAGATATCAGGAACGCATCATTTGTAAAAAAAAATCTAAGACTTAGAAAAAAAACGGAGAAAAGAAAAAGAATTGGTCAAGAAAACGAATCAAAAGAAAGAAAAAAAAAGTAAAACTCACCCCGAAAGCTGTCAAGGGGAAAACAAATCAACGCAAAAAAAAAAAGTACAATTTAATGCAGAAAACAAAAAGCAGAAAAGAAAAGCTGTGGAAATCCAATCAGTCGAACACTACATTTTCAATACAGTCTTGAGCTCGCCAGTCTCCTTTAGTTGCGAGCAAACATCGAATCCCCCAATTAACTCGCCATCAACATAAACCTGCGGAAACGTTGGCCAGTCAGAGTACTTCTTGAGGCCCTCACAAACCTCGTCACTCGCCCAGACATCATAGTAAATAAATTTTACCCCAAGCTCATGAAACATTTCGAAAAGCCTCCCTGTAAAGCCGCACCGAGGCCTCGACGGGGTGCCCGTGACGAAGACGACGACACCTTTGCGGGAAGTAAGGTACTTGAGGTATTCAGTAAGTCCAGGGAAAGACTCTTGAGTGTCACTTCCATTTCCATACAAGGACACCATGTTCATTTCGATTTGGTCAACTTTGGCGCCAACCACGTCAGCAACTCGCTCCTCTGCTTTTTCTCGAGAGGAAGTTCTGAAAAATATAATAAAGGGAACACATTCCACACCCTCAGACTCAGAAACCTCCTTGGCAAGATCTCCATCCACCTCGGCAAAAAGAACCTTTTCTTTATATTGAGACGAATACTCCTCCAGCAGCCTCCGTACCTCTTTGCAGGGCTCGCACCAAGCAGCACTGAAGTGAACAACGAGGCCCAATCCCTTAACTGCCTCTTCCTTTAAGGAAACATATTCTTTCAAAGATGAGATGCGTCGCATTTCTGGGCTCTTGAAAGATGAATGAATGACGTGACTACCTCCCCAGAAGATAATTCCCCTTTATACTCTGTGGAAAAACAAAAGAGAAAAAGCGATGTAAAAAAAGAAAACGCATATTACTCTTCTACCAACTCACAAATATAAACAATAAGCATGCAAGTTCAATATGCGCATGCAAAAAAAAACAATGCATAAATGGATTATCACCAACTTACAACTAGTGGTAGTAGGTGTGTTTGTTTGAAAAGGCGAGTTGCCCGCCGCCAATCCAACGTGCATCCACTGCCGCGGTGACAAAACAAAATCCAAAAAAAAAACCGCGCCTCGCAAAACAGTAAAAATAAAAAATAAATTAGGCAAAGTGCCTCTAAGAAGAATGCTGCCGTGCTTAATTAAAAAAACGCACAAGGAGGAAAGCAGCGAAACGGCAACGCCACCATGTGCAAAGGAGCAAGTACAATCCCTTCAGTCCGCCCTGAACCCAACAAAACGTCACCCAAGCCATCTAAAGGCAGCCAATAAACGACAACGGGGACACACCCAAACTCCATAAAGAAAAAAAACAAGCGCCATCCACGCACGGCCGCGCCCCCACCTTGTACCACGACTATCCCTCTCCGCCCGGCCTGGGGGGCGCCGGCCCGCCGCCGCATCCGCCGCGCTTCACCGGGCAGAACCCAATAAAAGACGCACCCCATGCGCATCAATTTTGGAAAAGCCCGCGACGAAAACACGCGGAACAACTCCGCCGCCGCCCGGCCACCGGACTTCGCGGCTGTCGCGGAAATCGCAGGGCGCGAGCCGCGCCTGCCCGCGCCCCCGCTCCTTCGGCCTCTCCCCCACACTCCCCAAGACCCGCCGCGCACGGCGCGCGCAAGCGCCCGGCCCAGCAGTTTCGGGAGCGCCGAACGGCCCCCCCGCCAGAAGACCAAAAAAAATCAACAACAACAGCAACTGGCGCAGCATGGTTTCCTACCTTTTGGGGCCACATGGCCGCTTCACGGTTCGCGAGCCAATCGCGGCGCCGCGACCAGGCACGAAGCTCGCACATAATGTTTTTTAGGAACGCGAAACCAAACCCTCCTACAATAAAGCGCCTCGGCACCCGGACCATGTGGTATCGCGGCGCGGCCGCCGCCTTGGCGCCAGTGCACGGCCCGCCGCCCCGCGGCACCGCCCTTTCAATGGTGACGACGCACCGGCGCCGGAGTTCGCAATGGGAGACTGACGGCGGCGGCGTTCGCATCCCGCAACTTAAAATAGTCTTCACCAGCGAGCGGTTTTAGCGCATGTGGGCGGGCCCCTCCCTTGCAAACGCCCGCGCCTTCGCAAAGACGGGCGGCACGCAAGATGCGCGGAGGCTGGTTCACTTTTTAACCTTTGGGCGGCGGCATCGCGCGGGAAAATTTAAAGAGGAAAACAAAAACCACACACACACACAAAGCCCAAGCTTGGAGCGCGGCGGCGGCATGAACTCACGGCAAGCGCCCTCGCATCGGGCACGCGCAACCCAAAAACCCACGCTCCATATGGCCAAATAACCTTTTTCTAATCCGTTACCGTTCCCAGTTTTAGGTACAGGACTTGGGACGCGTGCAGGGCAATCTAACGCAGCGACGCGTCGTCCTTTATATTTTGCAAGAGCCGCCGTGTAGGGTCTTCTTGGTTCTTGCCCCCCAGTGGTTTTTGTAGTTTATTGTAGTGTGGTTGTTTTGCGTGGGATGCTGCGTTGTGTGAAGGGATGTTTTTTGTTCTTTTTACTATTCTTCCTTCAACACGAGCAGCGTGGAGCAAAGGTGTGTGCGAAAACCAGATTATCGTCATCGATAGGTTTTCTTTTTCAAGCACTATGGAGAGTTGGGAGGCAAAAGGCCTGAAGGACCGTCTCGTGGAGTTGAACGAACTCCGAGACCAAGGCGTCATCTCCGAGGAGAATCGTGCCGAGGCAGTGAGACGTGTCCTGGATGAGTTCACGTCGGCCACACGGAGCTCGGAGCACGGAACGCTCGTGGCGCCCCAACCGCCGCACCACGGCACCCACAAACGGTGGCTGGCCGAGGCGCAGGACTCGTGGTCCTTTGTGAACGAGTCCAACTCCCAGACTCCACTGGAGGACAGGGCCTTCCGCCAACGGGGATCGTCGCCCAAGCCCGAGAAGGCGCGCTGA